GTTGGCGGGGGGTTGGCGGGGGGTTCACGGGGGGTGCTAAAGTAGGGGAGCCAAGCAAAGAGGAGTGAAGGGAGTTGAAGTGGTTCCGAAGGGTGCCATTCTGACACACTGCTCCACATTCCGTAGCCACGCCAGCAACAAGCCTACCGTGCTCGCACTCTGCATACAGGGTGTCACGATAAGAAGAGTTTCTAATTCTCAGGTTCGTTAGACTAGCGTACCTATATATTTCAAACGAGATCATCCAGCCACCCTGTCCCTCATCTCTTCTCCCTTTTGCTCCATACCTGCCGCACGTGCTAACCCTTCTAGAAGGTTTTGCTCATAGCCCAGATTCACTGGGACAACCATCCATAGAGCGTCAAACGATTTTTACGAAGGACGAGAAGATCCTCATTATAAATATTATACGTTAAATATCCGGGGTCGTCTCCGCTTCTCTGCGAACCAGGTTAATGCAGCCATTACACGTAACGCAGGACCGATAACGAGAATTGACTTCTGCCGGGGTCGTAGTCTTGTCCTGGAATTAGGCCAACCGTGACTTAAACGCTTTCGATCCTTCTCAAGGACTTCTTATAGGCACTGGAGTGCCGGCTATCTTGAAGATTTTGAAGTTTGCTGGCACTTCTTTATCTAATCTAATATTTTAGTCAACTCACCCGGTATACGTACTCTGGAGCGTTAAGAGCCAGAAGATGTCGATGCAGCCTTGGCTACTCAGACCACAAGAGCTTACAGCTCGTAGATAAACACTTGGCAACTTGTTCCTGATACTCTTGGCTCGATTTATCTCCTACCAAACACGATATTCGTCATTTTATTACAGACGAGACGTCAAAGTAAGCAGTGAGTCGACTGCCACTTGTTCGATCATTGAATATAGGGCGGCGTAGCATACGAGTCGTAAGACTGACTTTTTGTTTTGCTAAAGACAGCTTTGATAACTGGTTTAATATGATGCCACGTAATTTAATCGGATTAAACGCTAGGAAAATAAATGTTTATAAAATCGTCAAATCCTTTTTTCCACAACGTCCCTTTTCTCTTCGTCAGGCCGAAAGATTGTAGGTTGGTAGGTCGGTAGGTCGCTGGGCTGGCCGTATAACTGAATAGGCTCGGAACAACGGGTGACTAGACAAGGTAGGATCCACTTGCTCATTCGTTTGGAATTGTTGGACAGGTAATTAGAGGAGAGCAACGCGTCGCCGCTGGGCCTAATTATAAAAGAGCTCCCTGTACAGGCACCCAAGAAGATGACGAGTCTCGTGACGGAAACACGATGCAGGTAGCGCCGCTATGAACGATTATGACGTATCGATATCCCAAGAGGAAAAACGCATCAGTTAGCAAATAAGTCCCGTGGGAGCGAGAGAGATGAAAGAAGATACACAACGGCATGAATACAAGAGCGATCAAGAATTAAGCAGTTCAAGAGGATCTCTCTCGCTCCTGATCTGGACTGCCCGAAACACTGAACCATATAGTTCCTCGTGCCACTTCGCAGCTTTTCTCGAGACTTTCGTCCCTCCCTTTCCACCCCGTCGCCGCACTCTCTGTTCTCTCCCACATTCCTTCCACTTCGTAGCTTCTATCTCTGTCTCGCAGAAGTCCATAGACCTAAGCTACCATGCGATAGGGCTGCTTTCATCGTCGTGGTGGGTCATCGCTAGGGAGTAGCGGTTAATAGAAAAGTCGAAGTTAAAATTTGATCCCAGAATTCTTCCAGGGATCTCGTCCTTTCACTTCACCCTATCCAGGGTTAGTTTGTCTGGTTATTTTGAGCGGCTGGTCGGGCTGGATTATATTTTCTCGCCCGAGCTTAAGGCCGCGCTGTTATATAGACCTTATACGTGCATGACGCGTGGCATAATATTTGCTCGGTACACTTAGCGGTCTGCAAATAAGCCAGACTGCTTAAGGGCGGCCATTGCCCAAGCGGTGTCGTTGGATGCTACCGGGGGTTGGAGTAAACGATAAAGAGTCGTTGAAGCAACAATTTTGGCGTGGAGCCCTCCCGAGAGCCCGGCTGGCCGCTTCGCCAAGCGGGCTAGTCAGACAGTTAACATAAATCTCCATTAAAAGAGCTGAAAAGCTCAGCATATATATCCGTGATACGAATGTGCTGCGATTTAAATAAATAGATTTCTCCAGCGCGTTAAGCCCGCCGAGTCCACGTCGTCTTTCTCGTATCAGGGACTATGAGAATCGTCGATTGGATTACGTTGGCTACGAATCGCAACTAACGGAATTTCCCTAATAGGATTCGAAGGAATGGCGGCGGCCGTGCTTGGACTCGCGGCTATCATCCTTTACTTCTTTCATGTATCCTGACGTTCGTCAATTGATCCACTTTGACTCAAACTTCAAACCCAAAACGTCATTCACGTTCTAACGAAGTCACGGAAGCGTCGCTTCTTCGTACGAGTTACTTCCACTAGGTGTCTCACCTGATAACGTTAACGGACCAGGTATCGAATGATTAACGAGGTCAAGGTTGATCCAATCAGGTTGCATTGAAAATTACCATTGGAGATACCGATACCAGATTGAACGATATGGATATATATATATATAGAAACCTTTGATTCACTTCAGCCTCCAACGAACATTCTATGAAGTTGGGTCGTTTTCTCATGTAATTCAATCCTTGTCTTGACCTCTTGATAAAATAACCAGCGAACCCTGGATAAGGGGCTGATACTTTACTGCTTGCCTACGCAGCATCCCTCGTCATTTCAGCTGGACCATAGATAAGCTGAACGAGCCGATGAATATCTCGAGAATTATTTATCGATACGACTGAAACTTCGTCACCCGTTGCTATTGAATTTACATTGAATTCGTTTTATATAAAGATGAGCGCCTGCGCGTTACCAGGAGCAACCAACCAGTTAGCCTGTCTCCTTTCTCTCCGTCTCTCACTCGCACCTTGTATACCAGGCAAGAAAATATTTTGCCTCTCCTGCAGCTCACTTCAGCCGGTCGAGGACTTCTTTGACTTAGCATACGTTCCAAGCAATCCCTGTCGCTCGTGTAGAACTCTAGACGTATGTAAAATTCATCCAGTAGCCGCGAATGATCAAAGCAGTGCCAAATGAGACTGGCTCGTGCCGCACGGTCAGGAAATTATGACAAATTTTACAGTCCAACGCTCGATCGAACTCCTAGTGAAGTTGCAGTGGTCATTCAAGGCCGTAACTAGCTTTTCTTCTGACAGCTTGGAACTTGAGTATATAAAAAAAATCTTGCCTTTGACGTCTCGCAAGTAATTTCAAAGTGAAGATTCCCTCTATCAGAAACTGTTCTTTTGATAGACGGTAGATCTACAGGAAACATTAACTACTATCCATAAAACTGTATCACCCTGGTATCACCTTCGGTTAGAATTTTTCATTCACTACTGTCCCCAAAAAGGGGCCTAATTTTCATCTCGAAAATATCGACTATATCTGGTAGCTAATTGAAAAGTCGACATCGGCGGCTATAAAAATCCACGAACGCTACCACGTATGTCTATGTCCTCCATCCTTTTGCACCGAGGCTTTGCCAGGTGAACCGAAAGTAGCTGCCAGTTGTCGTACTACAACAACTGAATATCACCAGGAGACAGAGAACCATTTCGAAGCCTCGATAAGTTCCCTCGATCGTTAAATGGAGGATTCCTTGGCCTTTGCATTCGCAATGCCACTCGATCAGCGAACAGAATCGCAAAGTCCTCTTGTGCGAATTTCAAACACGCGAAGATACAACGACAGGACAGATCAATAGGATTCCTATCTCTCGCCGAACTGTGCAGCTTTGCAAAGCACTCGTGGAAACGTGCACTTGAATACGAGTGAACCTACGAATCCCCATTACGTCTATTTCCCTTAAGAGTCGGTATATTAGCAGGAAGTATGGGGGGGGGAAAAGTATCGAGAAGGAAAAATGTTAGATCCGCAAATATCAAACGTCCCAATAACGTCGTGCCACGCGGAACGACTTGAAATCGATCCATTAGAACTGTCATAAAATTATAGTCCTGATTTACCTTTACCATTTATTATCACGGTTGGCTATCCTGCTTCGTAGGTCCCCACGAGTCGGTACCTCAAAAAGCCTTAACCAACGCAAAGTAGAAAATCCTGTTAACAAAGCACGTCCCGCGAATGTCCCGTCGTAATAGCACCTTGATAGCGTTATTAAACCAAAACAACATAGGAGTACGTTCTCCCAGTAAGAAGGTATCTAACGAGTCTTACCTTGAGGTAGGACGGTGAGCATCAGCAGTATCAGCAACAGGGCGGTGACCATCTGTGTACTGATGCTCCTGGGCGATTGTATCCGCAGTCGCACAACACCTCTAGTCTGGTTCGACATGGCCAATGGATGTTGCCTGGTCAATATCGCCGGCATTATCTCCCGTCTACGTAATGCCGATCAAGTTCGTTCTTCCTCCTGGTGGCACAACACACGAAGCCACCGTCGCGAGTTCTCACCGACGATGCTACTCGCCACGGCGGATCATCGTCGCCGTCATCCTCCAGCTCCACTCGCGTCCTCAAGTCTTCGCTCGGGGCGAACTCCTTTCGCGTTCGCTAGTTACTCAAAGCTCTCACTCGCGAACCTCCCGACTTCGCCGTCATAACCAAGGTTCGCTCGCTCGGCGCGCTCGCACTTTCCATATGTCTCTATAATGTCAAACGGCTCAAATCTGCGATCGCCAATTATACGCTCCCTGTGCTAGGACGTTCCCGCTGCATATTCGACGGCTGCCTGATACTGACACTTTACCTGAAAAGGAAGACCAGTCTCTAAATTGCTTTTACGCCACGACCAATTTCCTAATCCTCCTACTGCACTGCCGCTTGGACGATTGTACTTTTTTTATATTTTCCATACTAAAGTCTGACGAATAAACTTTTTTTTTTCTGCGCCCAGTCCATACCTACATAATTCAGAGAAACTTTTGAAAACCATTCCTGTGTTACGCGATTCTGATTAGCAAATTTTACTGCGCTATCCTAAGTCACTGTACTGTCGGTAGATGCCTGGAATTTTTATTATTGCCGGTTGGCGTTAGAACGTTACATTTATACTGGAACGGTATACCCGGTGGTACGTAATTCACGAATCGCTGAAAATTTACGATATTCCTCAGTCTCTTGGATCAAGGTCTGATGCATTTATGATATTGTTTGTGATAACGAAAAAAAAAAGTACTCGTATCATATTCAAACGAATAGTGCTATGCTTGAATAAGGTCAGTTACTCCACACGGAATTGCGATTGCTACACCCTTTTTACTTCTCTATGAAAAGCAATCCGAACGGCAACCACGGCGGATCAGCTAATGTTCCTTCATCTCGGTAAAACGAAATCCATTTTTCTCGATGACTGCTGGATACATCATAATTTTGTACACGCTTTCATATATCACTGTACTAAGGCCTGGCATTCCTATCGATTTACGTTATTATGTTCATTTATTCTAGCGAACATTCGCGACTTTTGTAATTACTTTCTTTTTTTCTTCCTACTCGTTACCTGATAAAAGCGTACTATCATCGCATCTCTCAGTTAGCGCTACGTAATAATAATAAAATTCAATTTCAAGACTAGTTTCCATTTGTTTTCGAATAATTTTTTTTCCACATTACATTGCTAACGAAGCTACATTTTCTCAAAGCAAATGCAAGTTTAACAGGTATAGGAAGAAGGTTAAAAAATTGAGAGTAATAATAATGATTCGAGTAATACCGGTGGATTTAAAATGAATACGTATATACTATTTAATTCTTGTTATCAGTATGCAAATATCAGAAATGTATCCACCTAGAATTACGCATTCGCCAAACTGTTAGAAAAAGTAGGAATATACAAGAGCTAAAATTTAATGAGCATATAGAAAGAGTCAAGAATTTTCTGTATCTATAATATTCACATATGCGCACTATGGCTATAATCGCACGAATATCGTTATCTAATTTCCGTGCGAAATTTCATACAAAATACATGGGACATAAAGTAAACGAGATACTCGAAGTAATAAGAGAGTCTGGTTAACCCGTTAATTCTTGCCGAATAAGTACCTACCGCGCCTCTAACGTCAAATAACAAACTCACGCACGTCCATTTAAACGCAGCCCATTTACGTATCTAGCCACCGAGTAGACCTTCATTAATGGCTAAACGTATTGGTCGTGATTAATAAAAAAAGGCGTGTCACCATGCACGTTGAAGAATAATCAGGTTATCCTCGTTGTGACATTCGGCGACATCGTCAACGGCCGTCTCGAATTTTCAGGCTCGCGGATCGTTTCAGCGAGCCGTTCCTTAGCAGCAGCTTCAGGGTTACAGGTGTTCCGTTATATAGATCCAACACGTTACACGACCCCCCGACGGATTATGCTGGTGCTTCGTTTAATTAACGTATAAATGAACTATAAATTCACTGAGGATACGATGACTTCTTGTAATCATTGGCATGAGAGAGCTTAGAGATCTCGTGTCGGTCGCGACGTTGATTTCACGAGACACGCAACGTTGACGGTCCTCAAGGACGCAACGGGAGGAGAAGCTCCCTTTTATTATACTCCAGAGTATATAAAGCTATTGGCCGAATAAAAGAAAAATGATGAAAGAACAGTGAATGGTAGTCGTAGGTAAACAAAAATAGTAGCTATGAAAATCAGGGAATAACTTGACTGTCCTTTATTGTTTTTTATTCATGTAGCTTCCTCTCTCTCTCTCTCTCTCTCTCTCCGTGCTTTCTTCTCAGCGCCTCTCCGTCTTTCTTTCCCTTTCCCTCTCTCTCTCTCTCTCTCTCCTCGCACTCTCCCCCTCTCTTCCTCCGTATCCTTCCCTTTTTCGCACTCTCCTCTCTGGTTCCTCTTCTTGATCCTTAAACTCGAACGGTACCGAAGTATGGGACTCGAGCCGTGACTCGTGAAGAATTTATTTGATTATGACGCGAGTGCCGTTTGTTTTTATTCCCTTGCGCTGGCCGGGTTCCGAAATTGTTCAGTGACAGGGTAAAAGGGGACCACCACACAGAAACCGCTCGTGCAACGGTTTGCAACGGAACTGCTCCAAAGTGTTTGGAGCTGCTCGCAGCTCGCGACTCGCAGCTCCTGCGATATAGAACGAAGGAACCTCCTACCAGTCCCACCACGATTTCGTGGGAGGCTGCGGACTGGACCACCACGCAACCAGCATCTCCCCACCTCGTTCCATCTCAAGCCCACCCCACAGATCAATATTGTGCCCACCATGTACGGGAGTACCTACCTCCGACCCCATGCTCAGCCGTATCGTGCGATTCCATAGCGACGGCCATGAACGATGCTAGAGCACGTTCAAGTCTAAGGAGATTAGCCTCCGCTTGCCTTTTGCCAACGAGTTTCGCCTCGCCATTGCTTAGAAGTACCCTCGGGCTCCTATTCAGCATCGCGTGCACTGGGTGTTTCCAGCTCATTCTCATTCTTATACATCTATATACTTCTCTTCTTATACTTCTTATCCGTTTTGTAGCGTTTTTTTTTTTTTCAAAACTTACCGTCCATGCTACTACCTTTTTTTCTAGCTCCTCTGTATATGCTTAGATAGACGCTTTGACTGGCTAAGAAATGTTTTTCTTATCGCAAGTTCATGAGCGAGTAGGAAAGTCGATCGTGTTTGCCAAAACGTGCCGTTCTACGCGGTTTTCCTATCAACTCCCTGGCGAGATTCCTTTTGGCAGATTCATCGCACGTTGCGCACACTCCATCGCCGCTGGAGAATTGACAAATCGGTAAATACGCACTTAAAGATAACCTCAAGTCCAGGATGGCGTATACGTGGCCTAAACGTTCTCTGGGTCTTCCTTCAAGAAAGTCAACCTTAGCCGAATTAAGGTTTGCTGCTTGGTAGGTACACTTTATGCGTACTTGAATTTCGTTAGGTATGTAACGAGACAGCCGACAGGGTGCGCTGACGTCGAGTGCCCCAGATTTTAAGTTTGTTACTGTTCTGTTAGTATACGGTTAAAACTATAATCATTGTTTCCCACGGGACGCTTGGATTTTGATGTAGTTACAAACAATCCTGATGCAGATGTTCCCGAGTCTTCTCTATAAACTAATATCAGCTTAACAATTGATTTTGATCCGAATATCATGTTGCTCCTAATTCTCAATACGTAGCCGAACAGGAGTACACAGTTTTTCTTTAAATAACATACATCCGAAAAATATACTATTTGATTTAATAGAGCGATTGTAGAAATCTGAAGTAATTAATGATATTCATCTATATCGTGAACACTATAGATTTGCAAATTAGTCTTTGGATGTAATTAAATTTTCTGATGTCTCGTTTCAACTCAAATCTTTACACAAACACATCTTTACCTAAGAATTTATATTATCTTTATATCGATACGGTTATTCAGTCGAGACTTGCCATCTGAACAGGGCTTTACTATAAGAACGCCACTAATTATTTTGTATGTCATTCATTACTCGGTATTTACTCTAGTTACACCAACGTAAAATAGTCAATATATCTTGCCTTAGGTTACCCTGTACACTGGCCCACTGAATAGTACTGTAGACAAATATTTGATGTCGAAGACAAACGTTTAAGTATTGCCGTCACTCCCGCCAGTCATCTTCACTTCTTATAGGATTTTGCCAAATTTGGAAATACTATCCATTGCAGCTACGCATGCGCCACGATATTGTCCTCGACTTATTTAAACTTGCCAACCCGAGGAAACTCGTATACATATCGCTATGCAAACTTAAAAGGTTGTGGTGTTATAGCACAATTCTAAACTGAGAATTCTTTACCACACGCATGACGCCGTAGGAAATACGTGTTCTGCTCGGTGACAGTGTTGGTTTTTTTTCTTTTGTCTTTCTTCCACTTTGTCCTCTCCTGCGAGCAATGGCAAATGAGCCATACTTCAAAACGTGTCGCTGCGTTAAAGCACCCTTCAGGTTTTCGTTCTGATCGACCGAACTGCGCCCCTTATACTCGAATCGATAGTGTTTAAAATTATTGAGAAAGTAAGCATATATAGGCACTTTTGACTATAGAAAGTTATCGTCTAGCCAATGTTACTGGAAGAACTTATAATTAGATTGCTTTGATGAAACTTTCTCTTGAAATGATTGATTAACGTACTTACAAGATGAATCAGCTGCTGCCATCTGTTAACTGGATGAAACAAGCATTATCTTGAGGATCTGCTGAGCCATTGGATGTAAATGCACTGCGCATTGGGTAATTCCGAACTTTTTTTTTGTAATCCGATTTAAATTGTATGTGTTGTCTAGTTTAAAACGCTACAAATAACGCGATGCAATATCGACCTGTGTGCAATGGCTTTTGGAAAGTTTTGTTGTAGTATCATAATATCTTAGTTGTGCTTACGAAATTTACATAATTAAATAATAATATAATAGCACATTCTATATGGTGGTTTAAAACTGCTGCGATAAATACTATTTCCATCAAAGCTGGTGTGTCGCGCAAGCGTGTTTGTTATTTCGTCTCTCGCCAGGCGCCATTACCACGTGCACTCAGTGTCATTAATGCTTGAATTTACCGACTGAGTTTGCCTATTTAAATTACATGAGGGGGATAGAGATAAAAATGGGTTCATGGGCCCAGATATAATGATGCTGAGTGTCCAATTGAGCAAGACGCTTCTCTGTTAGTTCCTACGAATTCACACAGATGGTGCTGAACTACACTTACAGGAGGTCGTTCGTGCAAGCGTTTTTTTAAGTGCTCCAAAGCATTATAAGGTGCGTTCGAAACTCAGCAGAGAGCGCTGAGAGAACATGTGTTTTAGGGAATCAACGTTTATTTAGAGGAAAGTACACTCGTCTTTATTTGCTTTCATAAATAACAAGAGAAAGATACTAGGATGGAACGGACGCATGGACGCCACAACGCGTTGCAAACGAACACACTTCTCGAATGTTCCCTACGCTGAGCCTGTGGCGTCAGAGCTAGTGATTGGTCGGCGCGATGTACGCCGGGAGCGCTGCTTTTTGCCCGGTATGGCAGAATCCTTCAGTGCTCGGACAAATACATGCAATAAACAGAGCGGCAACGATGAACTATGCGCTTTCGGCTCATTTTCGATCTCACCTAAAAATACTTGGACAAACCTACGAATCTCTCTTCTGTATCAAAGTCCGAGCTCAGCATGCAGAGGAATAGCAAAACTATAGTTCTATACTATACTGTTCTATATTTTTAAAAATTATTATAGTGCATATTAATTTTCATAGGGTTGAAATAAAATACCAAATTTTCAAAACACTTTTATTATAAATCGTTAATAGTTATGTGAATACATGAAAATACTGCTTGTAGGAACTAATTATAATGAATATAAATTGTAATGTAATGATATGAACTTTGTAGTGTAACATAAATTACTTAAAACAAATAAAAGTTATGAATGCAGAAAGAAATATTTGGACACTTTCTTTTCTTCATGCAGCCTTAACAGTTTTCTCTGCTCCTCGCTGTGTCACTGGACTTTTCTGTGTCTGTGAACTTTGTTCCTTTTGAAGATTTTTTGCTTTTGAAATGGCATCATCATCCTTCAGTGCTGGCTGACCTGTGTTTTGGATTTTGATAATCCTTTCCTTTTTCTCCTGAGGTTCAGATTCCTTTCTTGGTACTATGATGCTTAGAACACCATCGGATGACAAAGTGGACTGCAGCTGGTCAATATCACACTGCTCGGGAATTAAATATCTTCTGACAAACTGTCTGGAAATCCATCCATGCTCATCTTGCTTCTCTTCGTGTTTTCCTTCGACAATGACATTTTTATCAACCACCTTGACTATGACTTCTTCAGGAGCAAATTGCTGAACATCCAATGTCAATTCAAATTTATCCTTGTTAGGTTGCACGGTTGAAACACCACTAGTAGCAGATCTTTTAGCCAAACTTCTGTCATAAGGCCTGTAACGGTACAATCTTTTGCGATATGGTCTCACTGCCCAAACATCTGAACTTAAGGGCAGTAAATCACTCGGAGTCACATGGAGTCCAAAATCTTGATCAAAAACAGAATGTGGACGGTCCAGGTCTTCCCACCAATCAGAGAATACCAATGGTAGCAGTGACATTTTTCCTTAACCTCGATGAAACAATGACAGGAAACGTTTGTTTTTTGTATTGATACTTCAATCGATGACTTTCTACAAATACTTTATGCTTGGATGCTTTAGAACAGTATTTAAACACCGTATACGCTCCTCTTGAATCACTGTAGTTTGCTTACGAGCTCTCGTGGATTCAAATTGTCACCGAGCCGGGAAGCGCCAGTATATATAACAAAACTCAATGGTAGGGAGAAGATATGGAAGAGTCCCGAATTTTCTTGAAAGCTTCAGAGCATAGAACTTTCTAGCTTCGATGTTCTGTGATGCACTCAAAATATCCTAAAGCCAATTGTAACTTTAATTATATGTATATACAAAATTAAAAAATATGATAATTCATACAAAGTGTATGAATGTATTTATGAATATTAGAGTTTTATATAATTTTTCATTCGCAATACGTTGATACATTTTCCAAGTACTGTTATGGGTTAGAGATCTAGTACTTACATACGTAAAATCCTTTCTGATTTTAGTTGGTATTACTTTAAATGCGTAACACGATTATTGCTAAAAACAATTTTATAAATTATTAAAAGTTCGTAATATTGAACATTGCTGGTCTCTCATGAGTTATGATTACCAAAAATCTATAAAATTTAATCACTAAAATAATCTAGAAATTTCGTAATGGAAAATAATTACCAAATTTTTTGCATCAAATTTTTATTACTAAAAATTATAATTCAATAATGTAATATTTAATAGCACACTCACGTCTATAACATTAAATATACAAGTTTTTATTGTATACAGTCTATGTAAAACATTCCAAATCTTCATTGAATTGCTTATAGGCTTCTGTTCCAACAAAAACTGTACTGTTATCTTTTGAAACACTCGTTCGTCAATTTTGCGTACTAAATTAAAATAAGTAAGAACCCACAACAAGAAGACTGGATCATTCGGCAACGCGGCACTTCTCGAAGCATCGAGTGGCTTCACAGCACAGGCGGCGCTGGCATAAAAGCGGTTGCGCGGCAGCAATAAGTAACAGTGAACGAAAAGCAATCGAAGCAGGAGCGTCGACTCTAGTGTGAAAGCGCGAGCGATAAAGTCAAAAGTATTTTGTGTTAAGCGATAACTTGAAAGTTGAAAAAATGTCGCTGATTCCACTGGTATTCGCTGACTTGTTGGACGACGATCTTGATCGCCCACAATATCTGAATCCCTATTTCGGCCGAGTACTTCAACCTAGTAGATCGTCGTTACCACGTCGAGCTGAACTCATGTACTATAGACCCTGGGCTGATCTTCTCCGCCAAGGGGAAGATGGTGGGGCATCCACTGTAAAAGCAAACAAGGATCAATTTGAAGTTGTTCTGGATGTGCAACAGTTTGCTCCTGAAGAAATCAATGTCAAGGTCGTTGATAAGTACGTTGTGGTGGAAGCCAAACACGAGGAAAAGCAAGATGAACATGGCTGGGTTTCACGGCAGTTTGTAAGGAAATATTTGATCCCGGAGCAGTGTGACATCGAACAGGTGACTTCAAAACTATCAGTCGATGGAGTCCTGACCATCGTGGCACCTAGAAAAGACCAACAGCCCAAAGCGGAAAATGAGAGAACCATCAAGATCGAGCATACTGGCAAACCGGCACTCCAGAAACAGCCCACTGAGAAGAAAGCTATAAAGCCCGGACAGGAGAAGAAGACTGAAAAACGTGACAAATGAACTGATTTCGTATGAACATTTCACATAAAGCATTTTTTCTTTCATTGTAGTTCCTTCATGTATCATTATCATTGCAGCATTTAAAGAATCATGTATTATATATAATATAGATAGATATAATACTGTATTCCATATATGCAATTCGCATAAATCGACAGATATCAAATTCCATCAGTACTGCATTAATAATGTAATTCCTTATTTGTATTTTTTAATAAATAAATTTAGTTCCATGAATTACATTGTTATTAAAAATTCCACTTCCTTCTCCTTTTTTGATTTCATCATAAAATTTGTTGTAGTTATATAATTATTTTCAAAAGCTAAGCTATATATCTTTTTAGAAAGCTCATTCGAGAACGTTTATAGAAGATCCATGCTCAGATGAAAAACAATATCTAATGAGAGTATACAAGTTTTATCATAGAATTTAATAAAACTTTTCGGTTAAAGTACATCTTGAGAATTACTGCCTGAACAACTTATATTTTGACAGAACTTTACAGATTTTTGAGAAAGTAGTTAGCTTAAATTTATTTGAATTTTTAAACATGTACACATCTTACACAGCTTATATTAAATACCATTGTATCAGATTTGACGTATTGCAAGGAAAATAAGTAAATTTGAATGAAGAGGAACCCTAGAATAGAGTACGAAAATAAAAATCCTACCACAGGAACACCCCAAATACTTGAACTTGAACACCTCTCTCCTGAATATAATTAATGTAAAAGGTGACCCGGCGAGGGAAGGAAGGTTAGTAAACGGCGCAGTTTTGATGAAGGTCACGGTTGCAACGCAATAATTGTCTTGAAGATTAAATTCGCTGGAAAGAGACATACATGTATATATCCGGTGTCACATTAAAAATAAACTTTAAATTTTAGAAAACAAATAGCTTTAAAGAGAGATACATATAAACGTCGTACTCACCCTTCGTTAAAAAAAATAATTAGAAAATTTCTAACCCATAATGTTATAATTTTATACTTAAAAATAATTCATGTTTCGAGTGATAACAATGAGAAAATTTTTAAGGATTAATGGGGGTACAAAGAATAAGATATGTTTTCTAAATATATTTTATTAACAAAATCTATTCATTACAAGGAAATTATTAATACAGCCAAATGACAGATTCCATCTTTGGCAAAGGACATAAAATACATAAATGATGTTTTATGATACATATGATGTAACAGAATTATAATAAACAATGAATAGCGTTACACAAAGTTTACTTCGTCGTAGCATTTCCCACGGCATTTTCTTCGATGGCAGGTTTTCCCGTGTGCTCGATTTTTATCACCTTTTCAGCTTTTTCTTCCAGAGCCCCTGGCTTCTTGGGTGCCGTGATAGTCAGGACTCCATCCGAGGACAAAGTGCTTGTCACCTGATCGGCATCGCACTGCTCAGGTACCATATACTTGCGTACAAACTGTCTGGAGATGATGCCGTGTTCGTCTTGCTTCTCTTCATGTTTTCCCTCGACAACGACGAACTTGTCAACCACTTTGACCTTCACCTCGTCAGGTTTGAACTGCTGGACGTCCAGGGCAATATGAAATTTATCCTTGTCAGCTTTGATCACGGACCAGCCACCCTCACCCTGACGGAAGAGATCAGCCCAGGGTCTCTCGTAGACGAAAGGATATCTTCTTTCCAAAACTGATGGATGAAACAGCTGATCGGGAGTAAGTCCTGTGCCGAAATGCTGATCCAGTAGCCGATGTGGACGTTCCAGGGCTTCCCACCAGTGAGAGAACAATCTTGGAATCAGAGACATTCTTGCCATACTTTTTCGTATACTATTATTCTTTTACTAAAACACTGATTAACGTCAACTGCTTAGCACTTCGCTCCGTTAACCTCTCGATGCTTCCCTTGCGTTTCTTGCGAATATACTGAAGGCTATGACGCGCCGCGTCTGCTTTTATACCGTCTAGTAGCAAGGGTGGGGAGGAAAGTGAACTTTCGAGCATTTTCTCGAACTTGTCAAAATCGTATCTCGTCTTGTCAAAAAAACAATGATCCTGAAAATTCTCGATCTTCATATGGAGTCTTAAATACGTGCAACGATATAAATACTAAAAATAACAGTAACAACTATGAGCTAATCAATACTGCGAAGCTACGCACTATTGCCTCAGTCGCAACCTTAGATTTTTCTAGCAACATCTACTCGTCTGAATATCTTTATATTATTGTTAAGATCTTTAATCAATTCTGACCAATTATACACTGTTATTTTATATATGACAAACATACATGTCAATAGGCACGTCGTGCTTCTAGAAAATTTCTGAACTACGCACGTTTTATATACTTGGCAACAAGAGCGCTTTGTTTCAAGTTCATACTACAGTGCTTAATATTATTTTTAATTTGCTTTTTATACAATACCAAATTGCGCCTTATCTTACATATAGGTTTATTTGTATTCCAATGATAAGTTGCATTGCAACAAGAACACTACATTTTTACAATGTTGTGTTATTACCTGACAAAGTCTTAATGGATCATATGCTAAGTTCAAAGATTGGTAATAAGCACTTATCAAAGGCATTGTTCGATTGTTAGGGCAAGAGGTCAACTGTTGATTATAACAATAATTCTAATTGTTTGTGTCAGAATTTTTTTTTAATTACCATACACATCTTCAATCATCTTCCCTTATCGAATTAAAACATACGACGTATAATTAAACTCATAATTTTATGAGTTAACAAAAAAGAATGTTCCCGAATATACTCAATCAATCTAGAATATATTGCACCCTTCGGCAGTCGTGACAACTTACGTAACACTAGTCGCCAGGGAGATATTCGGTAAACAGAGACAGCGTTATCTTTGTCTGAAACGAATTGTGTGACATTTCAACCAGCTGCAGAACTTCTATATACGTATGGCCGTATGTATATTGGCTTTAGCATATCTTCCGTGCTCACTGTGTCCACTGACCGTCGGACGCAACATCCTATAAGGCTGGGTCTCTACTACATCTGCTGGGTGCACTAGTACTCACGCCTGAAGGCCGTAAAGACTTTATTTTGGTAATGCAACGTAATGATAATCAGTATTACTCTACATTAGAAATTATTGTTGTTTATAAATATGGCTAGAAAAATTAATTACTCTTACCATCTTAACTCATAATGAATTAATAATACAGAAAAAATTATTCTAGGGCTTTCTCAAGAATGTCAACGATCTGGATTCTTTTAGATCCCAATGGGAATGTTGGAGGGTTAAGCTTCTAGAGGAATTTGAATTTGCATCGGATGGATTATACTCGACTATCAAAAAGTGGACTAAATATACATTTATTAATCCAGTACTCATTATAAAAGTGACGGTATCTGGACACTGTCGAGGTAAACATACATATGTAACAACGCATGATAAAAAGTGACTTATAGATATACATGTTATTTTCAATTCACACAAAATCCTACATATAGTCGGTCCAAGAGTACAATTTGTTTTTTTGACAGTTCGCTGAGAATGCAATTATAAATTTTTATAAAATTCTACAAGTATATGCCAAAGTAGAAAAACAAAAATTATTAATTGCAAAATCAGGCATATGCATACTTTGTAAGAAAAATTGTATGGAGAGCCACGTGTGACATGCTAGTGAGCTAAAGACTTCATTGTTTTCGATTTTTCAAAAAATCACATCGAAATCGTGGACTGACTCATAGACGATATATGTGTTGTATAAAAATAACCATTCATAACAGACTATCCGTATACAGAGTTATTCACGGCAAACGGACCAGCTGAAGTTGGACGCGATTGAACGATTCTATCAATCGTAGCAGTGCGGTCTTGTTAAACAAATGAAAAACAAAAAAAAAAATGTTAAACAAATGAAAGAATGTGAAATTCATGATCTTAACAATTTTATAAAGTTAACTTTCATTTTTTGTATGATACCACTCTGCTCTGATTCATGAAACCATCCGTTCACGGCCAATTTCATCTGGTGCGTTTGTCGTGAATAACCCTGTATAACAAGCAAATACGATACACTTATTTAAACTGTAAAAATATAGTTCTGTACAATTAATTGCCTGTGTTGCGCATGATGTGTTTTATAACTGCATATTAAATTTTTTAGTAAAAAATTTGAACATTGCCAATCTGCAACTCTTACTTCGTACCTTATGTGATAGTTAGACTTGATTAATACTGTGCGAATATCAAAAAATTATTTTTGTACCTATAAATCAGAAAAATGACAAAGGCCACTCTGATTATACGATGAAAAAAATATTTTTCAAGTAAATATTCTGTCATTATACCCGAGTTACGAGCCGATAACTTATAACATTGGTGATTAGAGAAATTTTAATTTCGGTCGTTGTCTTAAGTACTTGGACATTATCAAAGACTGTGTCCCCACTATGTTATACAATTTTTGCATAAATAGACACACGTCTCGTACGTTGCATTAGTACAGAAATTTCCTTCTGTCCGACTTGACTCTCCAAAGAAGCTTGAAATTGCTTCCGAAGATCCTCAGTGGAAGAACCCAAGAAGATGTCTCTGCCTCCGCTGCTGTATTCCTCCTGGTGGGAAGGATTGAATCGTCCCCATTATCTGCGTGATCAGGGTTTTGGTATGGGAATTCGTCCTGATCTTACCCAGCGACAGCTAATGGATCGTTATTACGCTCCGTTGGGTAGTGACGTCTCTGGTTTTTCAACGATCACCGACGATAAAAACGTCTTTCAAGTTCTGCTAGACGTTCATTTATTCAAGCCTGATGAGATAAAAGTGAAACTAGTTGACAAATTTGTTGTGGTTGAAGCCAAACATATGGAGAGACAAGACGAGCATGGTTTTGTCACTAGGCAATTTTTACGGAAATATGTAGTGCCTGATGTTGTCGACACTGATTTAATTAAGGCAGAATTGTTTGTTGATGGTATTCTGGTGATTATGGCACCGGTTAAAGATGTCAAAGAAAATAAACTTGAGAAGATTATAAATATTGAGAGAACTGGAAAGACTTTTCTTGATACTAGAATGATGGGTGATACTCAAAATTTCCCGATTGGCACGGATCGCTACAAGGACACGGTCGTCCATACTACTGACATGGATCAGGGTCTTACTACTGGTACTACTCCTGGTACTACTTCTAACACTACTTGTACTACTGGTACTACTACTGGTATTACTACTCCTACTACTACTGACACTACTGCTGATACTACTACCTATGGTATTACTACTGGTATTCCTACTGGTATTACTACTGGTACTACTACTGGTACTACTACTGGTATTATTACTGCCCCTACTACTGGTACTCTGGATACTATGCAAAAATTGAACGAGAGTAAGAAAGACAGCGAAGAGATTATGAAGGACAAGAGGAGGGAACTAGACGAAATGATGGAAGGCAGGAGGGGAGAATGCATGAAATTAGTCGAGGAGAAGAAGACAATATATGAGAATTTAATGGAGGAGAAGAAGAAGAACGAAAGGGTAGAAAATAAGTTAAAGATGGACGAGAAGAAGAGAGACGAGAGAAAGAAGTTTTAAAAGAGATAAATCATGTATTCTAATCTCTTGGCCTCAACATTCAAAGCTATTGTTTAATCTTGTTATTGTACAAATTTAACACTTTATATTCATTCATTCTCATGTTTGGTTTAATAAACGAATTATATGTGAATGTTAAAATAGGTCTTATTACTGTTATTTATACGATCCTTTCAATTTTTTGATATTTCTTTTATTAGACATTAAAGCGATACAGTGTTGGTCAAAAGTATTGGCACAGTGCGATGCGTTTAACCAGCACTGCACTGTGCCAATACGTTTGACCGTTATTGTATATCATATTGATGGATATTCTTTAAATTAGTCATTGCTTCGATCAGCGAGCAAGAAATGTACATATGAGCCGCTCAGTGCACACATCGATTAACTCCACTTTTTGAAAAATCTTAAATTTAAGTGTCAAAGCACTTGGTATAGTCATAACTTTTTATATTTATAATAACTTTCCTGAATAATAAAGATTAGCACCATTAAACGGCACAATTTTTTTGGCCATTGAATAATAAGTAATTTACAATATACATTACTTCATCGCATTTCTCAACTTTTTGTTTTATGGAGTTAATCGATGTGTGCACTGAACGGCTCATATGTACCACCTGTGGAAAAATTCGTGTGGCCAAGTAGTATATCTTTCACCAAGGTTACCATAAGAGAAGAGCAACTGTACGTTACGATCGATAGAGTGCATTGCTCGCCGCTACATACTTCGTTACCCTGCATTCTGTACGTTACGTATATATCAGCTAATAAATATAATTCGTAAAAAAAAGAAATGATCTTGTAATAAAATGGAAGGAGTAAAATAATATGGTTAACCATATTATAGGATTCATTATCCATAACTATACTGGTATACCGTTATCATCTTTATAAACAATGCGATAAAAATTTCCTTGCATTCTTATACAAAAATAATACATTTAATGCGTACATACGTGCGATACAGCCTTAGAACCTTCTAGAAAATTCTAGAACGGTCTAGACTCTACACGAATGTTCAGGATCCCTGGTATCGACTGAGGGTGAAACGCATAAATATATGCGCCCAAGCCGGAGCCCGTCAGTCGCCAGAGAACTGCCGGTGAGACAGGTCTGTACTAAAGTACCTACTGTAAAAAAAAATAGTGAAAGCCTTAAACAAAAGTTGGAATAAAAAATTTTACTACTACCAAGGTTCGCTAAGAAAAGAAAAAGGAATAAAAAAACGAAAAATGTCTCTGCTACCACTCCTGTTCTCAAACTGGTGGGAAGACCTTGAGCATCCACACCGGCTCTTGAATCAGGACTTTGGCCATGGCATTAACCCTGCTGATATCGTAATGCCAAGTTTAGTTCCAATGCACTATGGACTACCTCATCATGATCGAGGGCACATTATACCAAGATGTCCGAGTGTTGGATATCACAGATCCTGTTGTGGACCAATTATCCAACCTAAGGGCGGTTTCTCCACCGTGAAGGCTGACAAGAATAAATTCGAAGTTAACCTTGACGTGCAGCAGTTCACCCCTGAGGAAATCAAAGTTAAGGTCGTTGACAAATCTGTGATCGTCGAAGGAAAACACAAGGAGAAACAGGATGAACATGGTTGGATTTCACGGGAGTTTATCAGGAAGTACCTGATTCCTGAGCAGTGCGACATCGAGCAAGTTGCTTCCAAGCTGTCATCAGATGGAGTTTTGTCCATAACTGTACCCAGGAAGGATAAGCCGCAGATCGAAGGTGAAAGGGTCATTGCTATTGAGCATACCGGGAAGCCGGCTGTTCTGGAGAAGCCTGTTGTGAATGACACTCAGCAGAATGGCGAGAAATAAATGTAATAATCATTCAATACGTTTTTTGTCAATACTTTGTCACTCCCAAGTATTATTATCACATATAATCAGTATCAAATACACGAAAACTATGTATACATATATCTCATATATATCAAACATTGAAAATTATATAATACCTATAAAAAAATGACTATTTGTTAGACTGTAGTAATACTGTATTGCTAATGCTATTATAATATAGCTGTAACTTTTGGATAAATATATAGTACTCATTTATGCCTAGCCTACCCTTTATATCTCATCCTAAAATTCGAAATAAAATTGTTTCTTTTTTTCGTAGCTGTCTCTTACGTAATAATGATATACCTAACCTAACCGGCCGCACAGGGACTCTAGTCCAAAATTATGCTATACGTTTATAACACGCTAGAATTATAACATGCTTGTTGTACTATTGGTCTTGAGAATCCTTTACGACGAATTATCTTCTGGCTCTACGAGAAAGTTATCAAAATGACAATTGGTACATAATCCATGCTATTATTTTTAAGTACGATCGAGGAATACTTTCCCAAGGGATCTTAAAAACTGTGAACATTTAAAAGTTATTGCACTTATAGAATTTATAAGTTTTTAGGTTGGCAATGATCTTTATAAAAGATTAGGACCCTTCCAAGCATGCATAGACGATTCTGGTAGGCCTCAGCCAACCAGCACACAAAGTGTGTTTGGGTCTCGAATGCCTTAAGGCTGTTGGCGCGTCATAAAATCTGAAGCAAATATACATATGCAAGTAAGATATTTTCAAAGACATAATTGAACAGTATAAGCGCTATGGTTTACTGCTTACTAAAGATATTCTCTATATTATAGTTTCTAACCGTAGCATTTCAATTGTCTAAATAATATAATTTCGATTAATTAATTGTTTATTTCTGTAGCCAAAATGGCAACTGGCAGCCAAATTCAATGTGTCAAAGAGTTACACCGACAGTTGTGCACAGTAAGTGCGCACGAGACTTCCAATCAGTCAGTCGGACAAATTAGCACCTATACGAAAAATATAAACAGTTTTTATATCGAAGTGTCAAGGATATTATAGTCCGCATCATTATTGGACGTTAGACGAGCAGTTGTCGAGTTTTCGTGGCAGATGGCGGCTTTCGTGTTTACGTGCGTCGCGAGTCTGACAAATACGGCTTGAAAATTATCACGCTCAGCGACGTAAAAACATTTTGTGTGGTAAATGCGTTTACTTATGTAGGCGACGTCAATGCACAAAGTCTGGAGATTGCCGTCGTTCTACGTGCCAAAATTATCAGAACCCATTCGCGGAAGCGGGAGAAATATTACTTGTGGCAAATGGTATATGTTGGTTCCGATAGTCGAGAAGATAAAAAAAGAATTCAATCTGACGACGGTAGGGACTTTTCGGAAAAATAAGCGAAAAATTCCAGATATAATGAGACGTAGCGTTACCGTGGGGATGAGCGCAATTTGCATACCGTAATAATAACACGCTTGTTTCTTACTGTCGGATAAAGAGAGAAATTGTTTTATTGTTATCGTTGCTGCATTCTAATGTTAAAATTGATGAATATACCCGAAGGCTACAGATTTTATGCTTTTGTAATAGTACATAAGGCGTTACGGACATCTTTGAACAAATGTGTCACGTGTGCATGACTACGCACGCTACTCATCGTTCGATTCTGCGTTTCTTTTATGGAATGCTATACCAATGCGCAATGAATGCTTTTATACTCTTTCATTTGAACGTAGAAAACGAGAAAAAGACTAGAGCTGAATTTTTGGAAGAATTGCCACTGGCTCTGATACGTCCAATATTACTTGAACGAGTGGATACAAAACAATTCAGGTTGAACGTTCGCCTATTGATTAAAAATGTATTAAATATATATAACACGGCTGATATTCAAGATGCTACGAGTTAGATAAGAGAGTGAGGTGTCCTTTTTGTCCCTCCTGCCGTATTTCTAGGTGTGACAAAAACACCGTTCATTTTTATGCGGTGACTGTGCACCAATTGATGAATAATTGTTTTCCGTAAGTTTTATAACAATAAATTTCTATTTTTCGTATAAATACGAAAACATTGTTATTTTATTATGATAGCATCATAGCAAAATGTTGATAAAAAAATTATACCCTACGATGACTTTATAAAGAAAAACTATTTTACTGAAAATGTTTATACAAAATTGTTATTTGTTTATAGATGTTTTTTTCTCATAAACTATTATCTTTATTAATTCCATGTGCTTGTACGTTTTCCTCAGACTGTGATGGCGAAAATAAATAAAAACTCAAACGGTTTTTTTATCCCACTGTAATTGGCAGAGTGGCAAAAATATATGCTTATAAATAATATTGGCACAGTGCAATACTTTTGAGCTGCACTGTATGTCTGGCTGGTCAGAAATATGCTATACAGTCCCGTGCAGAATTATTGCGTAAATAAGTGGATTCATAACATGAATGAAAGCTCCGGCTGGAATACGTAACACTTGGTACGTAATATTTAGAGAATAATAATTGTAAGTCGTATCCTGAGACTGTAGAATTATGCAATGAATATCATATTTAATTATCCAGACTGATTAACAGTAAAAAATAAAGTTAATTACTCGTGCCTATAAATAACTCGAATTGCCAATATCAGAAGAGTACAACGATAAAGAATATCTATCGCAAAACACATTTTAGATAGAATACATTAATCTTTTAATGTTTCTGATATCGGATGGAATATTGATTACGGAATACATAATCAAAGATTCTGTTTTATATTTAAGTAAGAGTATCAATAATTTCTTGTAGAGTAGAGGTGACCTAGACAATAAAGTTTATTGTACCCCTTCTTCGTATATTTCATGCCGCAATCAATATCCGTCTCAAGGTCAATGCGCAAGCCTACGGCATCATGGGAAATATTGATCTCACAGCATTTTGGACCTATATACGTAGTTGTAGAGCTACCATAAAACCCACCATGGCTATTAACATGTAAAAAGACAAACCCACTACTTCAGATTCTGACAAACCAGTTCCACCTATTATTCCTCTACACAAAACGGCAGTACTTAGATCCGGCACATCCTGTGCAGCTGCAAAAAGCTGGTATTCAGCGCGATTAACGGACATACTACTTTCAAATTTCATGAAATCCTATGTAACGTTAAAATAATAAATTTGATTAATTTAATTGTACACGCTAAAATGACAGGTTATATTATCAGTGAAATGCTGCCTGTGTCAGATAAGTATATCCATCACGTGACCTACGCGTACGTGTATGCGTATATAGTATATACAATACAGCACGGCAAATGCACTTCTTTGAGAATATTGTATGCAGAAAGCCGGAAAGTGCACGTGTACCGGCATCGTAGTACAGTGCTGACATAATAATAGTAACGTCTAGACTGTGTCTAGACAATACTGTAGCGTCTAGTAAATTGTACCGTATACGACAGAGTTCCAGTCACCCAGAGAGCGTTCGATAATAATGGTGCACAATGTTCCTAAAGGAGGAGTACAGTGAAATCGTAATACGCAGTGAATTGGAAAATCCTATTATTATACGAAAAATGTATATACGTGCCAATGCATCAATGTATAGGCACTTATTTGATTTTGTGTTAAAGAAAATGTTGGCTAAACAGATATGATTATTAGTAATCGCCTAATAGTTATTTAATTTCATAAAATATATTTTCAGTTTCGTTTGAGAACCACAACGGTAGTCTTGAATACCCATGGTGTGGGCTCGCCTCGTTTCAAGGTTAAGTCTCGAGCAGACGCGTTGGGGCGTCTCGTACTGTTTCGTTGCTTTATCCCCACTACCTACGACGAATCGAGTATATAGAGTGGCGTAGACATTGCCGGCGCATATTCGTGCGCGGGCATTGAACGTGTAGTCGAGCAAGTTCGTTGAGAGAGACAACACCCAACGCGGTACATATTGTGTTACATAATTCGTAAATAATTAAAACGATCAGGATGTCTCTGGTGCCGTTGTTATACTCCGATTGGTGGGAAGACCTTGATCGTCCGCATAGACTGCTGGATCAACATTTTGGATTGCCATTAAATCACGATGATCTTCTGGATAGAGCTTTACCGACACCTTCCGAAATGATTCCATTTCGTCCAGGGGGTAGACGCAGAAGACGATATCATCCATTCATGGAGTATGCCTTGAGGAGAGGAGGACGCGGGTCATCCACTGCACAGCCGGACAAAGAAAAGTTCCTAGTGACACTAGACGTGCAGCAATTCGCACCGGATGAGATAACCGTGAAGGTGGTGGATAAAAATGTTATTGTGGAGGCAAAGCACGAGGAGAAGGAAGACGAGCATGGTTGGGTATCCAGACAATTTCTGAGAAAATATTTGGTACCTCCTCAATGCGATATTGATCAAGTTGAGTCTCATATTTCATCGGATGGCATCCTAACCATCACGGCACCCAGGAAAGAACCGATAAAGGATAATTCTGAGAGAATTGTGAAGATTCAATATACTGGACAACCGGCTATTAATAATTTTGATGGCCACAAGGAAACAATTGAATCATCGAAGGCATCTACTGTAGAGAAGGAACAACCACAACAAAAAACTCAAACGATTCAACAAAGTCCACGCGGAAAGAAAGCTGTGAAATCTGTATAAGACTACTTTTTTTTTACTTTTCCCGTATCTTATTTACATTCAATATTCATATTCTAAAACGTTCATTTGTCTCTGAGTATTCAAGTACAAATATATATATATGTCACTGTAAGATTTGTACTATTTTTTTATAGAAAAATAAACTGGAATAAACTATCTACACAGTGTTATTTTTGTCCTGCCTAACCTACCCTACTTAATAGAATATAATGTCAAATTCATGTATATAATTTTGTTTCTATCAGAAAAGGTTTGACTTCGGTGTGAATTTATTTACAATGGGTATTATACACAGTTTAGAATTATTTGGTCGAGGCTCTTGTTATTGGGAAATATTTTGCTTTATTATTTGAATTAGTTATAAAATCTCTCCTCTTGCATATATTATTTAAGAATATTCCGAAAACAACGATACGGAATAGCAGATTATGAGACGATGCGCAATATATTACGAAATGCACATATATGCATGTATGTACGTGACTGAAAGTGCGTAGCAGCAGATCGCCACTATGAATCACTGTGTTATGATTCCAGAAGTACACCTAATAATAGCGGAGGTAGAACATTATTTCATTAGAATACTTCTATGTACATAAGAGATGCCTATAAGTGCATTGAACTTATGTATTGTATATGCATTAGGTGGATGCTAGCCAAGACTGCTCGGAGAGCTTAGAAGCACCTAGAAGATTCTATTAGACATAGATGACTGACGCCTGTACGATCGTGTCAAGAATAGACATTGTATAGTTGAGATTTGAGTACTTCGTAAAATTGTTCTAGAATATTCCTATCAATTTCGAGAAAAATTCGCAGTTAATTATAGGACGTGCAGGAAAAACACGACGTTTGGCAACGCATGAAACGATTTCATTCTGCGTCATATGTATACACGTATTTTTTTTCGTATTTACATTCTCTATACATATAAGGTTACTGAGGAGAGTATTGCCAGGAATGATTTAGTCCGTTCATTTGATTCCTATGTCAATACCACCTTCCTATAGTGCAAACTTTTAAATAATCCTATATATGTATACCTATATACACCATAGGACAATTTTAAAGGTTAGGGACAGGTATAGAAAGTACTGCTCCCTGGAACGCAAGTGGATCAATAGCTGCGAGGCGTACTAGGAAGGGTATATTCTGGAACATTCCCGAAAAATTTCAGGTTATCCAAAAATTGTGGTAGAATATTCAAGTAACGCTGTTAAAAAAGCTTTAAACTAAGAGTACCGCACAGATTCTCTTTTTGTAGTTGCAACAAAAATACTAATAAACAAAAATAAACATTGAAAGGGAAAGTGCTTTCTGGAACGTTTCAGCTATCTATATGTATATACATATACACACATACACTACATGGAACAGCTCCCGAAAATTCTGGAATCTACGATGGTTCCAGAACATGTTAAATTCCGCAGTTTGAAAATGACAGTCATTTAAAATATTCTTGACAAAAATGTTTATAAACAAAAAGGAAATTAATTTAGTACACAGTAATAGAGTAGAATCATGAAGATCGATAAAGTTCTTTCGTAGTTCTCTCGAACAAGAAGTAAATATATGTATTTCAGTGCAATACCATGCAAATGCATACTTTGTAACGAAATTTGCTTGCTAGAAACTTCGTTGTTATCGTTTGGTCACAGAGTATGTTGAATTGGTGGATCGAGTGTATACTGTCGGCGTTAAGGCGTGTTCTTGATTAAAGCGTACGTTCAAGAGAATCGTTACGCAGTTATATATTTAACCCGTCTAATTTTACTTAATTAAGAGATTAATTAATATACTCATCAATTGTAACGCCAAATTTATGAAAAGCAGGTGTAACTACGTTATTAACAACGTATATTCCTTATATTGACGACCAAGAAAATTCTGTGTGTATCTCGAACGTTCCGGTTGCCCCACCACGTGGCCAAGCCGGCCGGTATAAACAGAGGACGGAGCGCTTCGTAGCGACAGTTGACAAGAAGCAATCGTGAGCGAAACTTCTGAGCGAAAGCTTGAAAAAGTTACAAGCGAATTTACGTTTGAAGTTAATATTTTGAAGAAAAAACAAGATCCAAGAAAAGATGTCTCTGGTACCGTTGTTGTTCTCCGACTGGTGGGAAGATTTGGACCGCCCTCATCGACTTCTGGATCAACATTTCGGTACGGGCCTTTATCCTGAACAATTATTAACACCGAGCATTCTGGAACAATACGTCGTACCGAGGAGTGAACGCAAGTTCAGAAGCCCGCTGCAATATTTCCGTCCTTGGGGCGAACTTCTTCGCAAAGTTGAGGGTGGAGGCACTTCAACGGTGAAAGCTGACAAGGACAAGTTCCAGGTGATCCTGGATGTTCAACAATTTAAACCTGAAGAGATCAATGTCAAAGTCGTCGACAAATGCGTCGTTGTCGAGGCGAAACATGAAGAGAAGCAGGACGAGCACGGGTGGATCTCACGGCAATTTGTGAGAAAATATATGATTCCTGAGCAGTGCGATATCGACCAGGTCACCTCGAGCTTGTCATCGGATGGTGTGCTGAGCATCACCGCTCCAAGGAAGGATCAACCTGAGATCCAGAACGAGAAAACTATCAAGATCGAGCATACTGGCAAGCCAGCTCTTCGTGAAAAGGGTGAAAAGAAGGAATCCAAAGAGGATGAAAAAAAAGAAGAAAAGGCTGGAAAATAAGACGTTTCTTTTCAAAGCTTTAAAGTAATATGCTATTCATAATATCGTATTTCTTCACAATTACTGTTTAATTTCTTCATATGTCCTTTCCATTGTGTGATATATATGTATATGTTCCTTATTGTAATGATCCAAGACTTTTTTTAAATAAATAAGTTCGCTATGTCAAAATGTGTTTATTATTAAAAATCTCACTTTTCCTATTTTCAGGTCTTAGGGTTTAAGTGTAGATTAGATTAAATGTTTAAAGCTTTGGGATTAAGAAAATTATGATAAAAATATGTATTTCTCCAAAGTCAGTTTTTCTATTAATTGTAAGAGGAGGTGGGGATGTGCTTACATGTCAGCATTCAGTATCCAAGTGGGTTGGGTATTTGTTTTGGTTTTTCTGTGCAGTCGTCATGTATGAAGTATTGACTTTGATTTATTTTTACACACAAATTTGCATCCTTAGCAGAAGGGGGTGAAGCTTCTAGAATATCTGACGCGTTCCAAAAGCTTGATAGCACATGTATTTATGAAGAGCAAGGTAATAGGAACTATAAATATTTTTGCAGTGTGTGACACTTTCTTATTTATAATTTACTCTATTTCATTTTTTATGTAACATAATAATCCTAGTTTATTGCCTTGAATTTTCTAGTTTCATATGAGACAACAAATATATTTTAGTATTCAAAACCTATCTAGAACATACGTGCGTGCCAGATAATATACGCAATATGCGTATTGAAAGTTTATGTCATATAGTTCTACAATACTTATGATTATCTGTACAATCCAGTGTGTATCTAGACGCAAATAAAATTTACAGCTGTAATCCCATATATCATATATTACGCTTGTAATATGTTACATTAAATATTCGTTGAGCCAGATTACTCTGAATATATACAACGTTTCTAATTATCGTATGATTTCACAATACCATCAAGTTAAATAAACACGATTCCAACAAGATGTGCAAAATGATAAATTGGTTTTAAAAAATATAAGGATTCTTATATGTAGCTTTTTTCTAACATCAACATTTTAACATTGAGCAAATCTCATTGAACAAATTTAAATTATTATACATTTCAATAAATAACAGAATTTCTCTATTGTCGATATGCAACTACCTTGAATACATAGCTTTAGCAAAATATTGTTTGAAAAATACAAAACACCTGTAAATTCATTAACACAACGCTACTTATCGATACCACGCTTTTGCTTTAACGACAGAATTACACGTACGATAAACGCAGATTTGTATTAAGAAATTGTATTATTTGATTTAATTGTCAGAAATATGTAAAATTTATTATATACTTTTTAAATAATATCAAGCAATGAAAACTCGATGGATTTAGTTATTTACAAGCTGCCTTCAAGAGTTACAATTATATTGTAATAATATTAAGACATAATTAATTACAGAATTTTATATGACTCTTGAAAGTATTTGGCAGTTAATAATTAAATCCATGATTTTGAAATTATTATATCAAGACAATAATACGGGAAACTTATAACTTGGTGATGAAAAGCCACTGTAAGATGCATTATTAATATGGCGGAATAAAGTAATATTTTAGAAGAATACGGTAAACATCTTGTTTCTATTTTTCCTTTAATATTATAAATCCTGATCTAATTGATTATGATTTATAGTAGAAAATTAACTGCAGGCTATTCAACATATTTAACGGAAATCTTTGTATGTACACAACGCTTATAGAAACTTCATAATTTTAGTATCAGCTGTCCTTGAGAACTTCTTTCAGTATGGATCCTGTGTTTCTGGCAGGAACAAAATCCGGGAATGTCGGTAGCGATACATTTGAGAGTAACAAGGTAGAGTGTGTCGATGATGATGAATGTTGTCGACTGTGTCCTGGTCGTGATAAAGACTGAAAAAGTAATTCAAATTGTAAATATCCAATACCAGCTTTTTACAATATATTGTTAAATAGAATATTCAAGTATAATATAAAAGTACTATGATTGATTACCGTGGATGATATCGTTAGAGGAGGTAGCTGTGGCTTAGGTTTAGATTCAGTTTCTAAAAATTTAACGAATGCCGCGGACAAAGATGCCTCCTGGTCCTACAAAAGCGGGTAAATAAAATCGATATAATAAGAAAGTATTAAATTATTTGTAACATTGTCAATATTAATTTTTAACTACCTTTGTAGGAGCGGTGGCGCCACCACTTAGTAATCCACCGAACCATCCACTATTTCCAGCTGAGGTATTGAGACCAGCTTTATCTTTTTCCGCTTCATTGAAATTCAAAATAGTTGAGAATACTCTCAATACCGAAGATTTATCCGTAGTAGACGATGTAATGTATCCCATCAACAAGTTCTTCACGAGGGCCCTTAAAAATATAAAAAATGCTCAACAATAATTCCTTAACGTATTAACTATAAATTTATAATATTTAACACAAAATATACGAACTTATCAACTTTTCCCTCTCCACTTTTCTTGGCTTCTTGAATCCTCTCATCAGCAGTATTTACCAGTTCCGTTAAGCGTGCCACTGAAAACAATAAATTTTTGTATAAGTACTTTCTCAATAGCTATGCAAAAATTAACTCAACCGTCTTAATCATTCTTATTATTGATATACTCAATACATATTGTCTATGTACCGATTCTTCTAAACTCTAACAATTACAAGGGACAATACAAGAGCGTGGGAACAATTTGTAAAGAATGCTGATACTTTAAATATAATATAGCGACTTTAAATGTGCATTCCGCCGTATGGTTCGCAGGCTGGTAGGTCAAAAGGGCATGAGCGCAAGTATAACACAAGTACTGGTCGTCACGACACTACACCAGTACCTGATGTAATACTCACACCCGCGTCCTGATTGCTCATGCTGCATTCTTCTTTCATCATGCCATTCTAGCAAACTACGGGCTCACACATGCTGCTAAAAAAAATAAAAAAGACATTATCCAATTCTTAGCCTCGCTCGATGATATTTTTTTAAAATAAGTCATTCTCGCGTCAAAATGTGTTAAATACAATTTCACTGTACATCAATGCGAACCTATATTACATATCAGACCGCTTCTTAAAACTTAACTCGGCGATTATACCGATAATTAATTTTTTCGTTGAAAAGTGAATTTAACTAGTTTCAAATTTAGGTAAACCTTTATATTTGTAGGATAACGGTAGCGGGTGGGAAACCCCACGAGGTAATATGAGCATCCGTAACATATAAGCTCACAGTTACCGCATGAGATTACCCACTCTGACGCTACCAAAGATATATATATTTTTTTACATTTATTCATACTGAAATATTATGTTTTTTATATATTACAACAAGCTACTGTTATATATCTATTAGCTGTGCAAGCAACTATACACAAAGAGAATCGAATTAATATATATTACATAAAATTTCTAAGTGTTAGGTAAAATCGAAAGTAACACAAGGTACTTCCGAATCGTACAATTTGCATGGTAAGTTTTTAGATTACGTGCACAGCTAAGTAAAAATGTCACTCGTTTTATATTTATAAAAATTTTAATTTGTGTAAAAACAGATTTTCACGAACAAAGAGTTACAAGTAAGCGTGACTTATTGGATCGTTTAACTCGACGCACATTGCGTTACTGTCATTGTTACTTCGCTGTTTCTCACGTGCGGATGAAGACGCGACTTTTATTTAAGGTTTTTTCAATACATATGGTGTTACCTGCACTGCAGTGTGGCGACGAATTGACACATATTTCACGCAAACTGACTAACAAGGCCTTGAATTACCTAACGTATCGCTATCATATAGCATGCGTAGAAGCGTCGATGTTGCGTAAGTTGCAGTTACAATATGCAATTGCTATTGTTATGTTATAAATGTGCGATATGTATATGAAAATTGACAGCTCCGTAAGTCATTCTCTGATAAGGGACATAATTTGATAATTCCAATATTTTTTTTTTCTTCAACGATCAACAATACTTTTGTGCGCTAATATATCGAGCCATATTATATCCTATATGGTTTTAACACAATTGCAAGCTATAACGTTATCGTTAAATGCGCCTCTAATCATTTATTATAGTGTATGCATTACTTTTTCGTATTTATCTGTAAACTGCCGTTAAGTGAAACGTGATAACCTGGAGGATAGTTATTTGATACGTAACTTATTAACCATACCGTATTATACGTACAGTAACTTTCTGATATAGTATATATGTTTAACCTATATTTTGAGTTGTAATATTTTTTTAAATACATAATAACATTCACGTTCGCTTAAATTCAATATCTACTTCAACGTGCATAACAGAAAATTCGTCAAGTATGATATAAAGGTACTAAAACAAGTGCAAGTATGGTATTTAATAATAATAATGGAGAAAGTTGTTCTTTTTAATTTTGATACCGTTATAACTACCAAATAATCGTGTCTGTGTAAGATTATAATAAAAAGAGGAAGAAGGTTAAAGCGATGGATAAGAATAATTTTGATTTTTTGATTTGATACAGCACGCTCAAATATACGGTGTAATAATTGTAATAGAAATCATAATAAATGCGTATTTAATCTAACGATAGGAAGTAGGAAAACCAGCACCAATGGCAATGCGTGAGCCAGCCGAGATGCGATTTAGTGTGCAAAGGCGACGGACCAGCCCGTAGCCGGATACCAGCAAGAATCCTGGGCTATCATTATAATCCCAGAATTACCAGCTGATATTTGACTACGCCACCAGATTATATGGGTCTTTGATTTTTTTTTACGGATTAGTCACAGGCCATAGCTAAATTGATACTTATAAATGGCACCCTCCCTGGGTGCAAAATAAAATTGCATTAAAAATTTATGGAGACTACAATATGTTCATAGGAGTATAATGAAATCACATATCGATTGATGTAAGTTAATATCATATTATATGTACCAGTGTGTACGCAAATAATTTTTTTCATTCAAATAATATAAAAAGTATATTGTACATGGTGAAGTGACATTTTAACTTTATTTAATTCAAAAGTAATAACGAAATATTAAAAAAAAATGATTGATTTTGATTAATGGGAACACGAGCTATTGTTCAAATTATATATATATTTTTTAATTCACTTGTGTTTATGCACCACAGTTTCAAAAAAGAGTAGTGCAAATTTTGTAGTAAGTATATTTTGTAACAGCGTCGGTGCATCCATATACTGATGTGCAATAAGTACGAAAAAGATTGTGTCCCATGAGCGAAATGAATAGTAAGTATAGTATAGTATAAAATTGTCATATGAAATAAAGCAGAAGCAGATCATTTTATATGATTAAGTGATTCGTTACGATTGACGTAATGAATATATATTTTGAATCCCGTGCTCATTGACGTGTAATGACTAATGAACCTTTCAAATAGCACAATTCATCTGTAAGATCTAAGGTTTTGTATTTCCCATTATATGTAAACGTCAGGCATTTGTTTTGTCCACGTAATTACGTGACTTCGTTTTTCACAAAGACTGTCATATTGTGTCAAAAATATCAATGTTTTGTTTGAACGTGCGATATGTATTAATTGTTTAATTCTTTGCCAACAGCAGCTTAATTATGCATTTTAGGTGCAAACACTATCATGTAAACAAGTTATAAAATAGGATTTATGAAGAATATCATGCAAAAATTCAAAAACCAAGATGTAACCAAAGAATGTCAAAATGATAAAACAAATAAAAATATATACCTTCTTGAGTTAATTGCTCGATACGCTCAGTTTTCTTATCAAGCTGTTCACTTAGCCTTGAGGCCGCCTTCAGGCATTCTTTGGCTTCCGTTAATTGGTCCTAATAATAGAAAATGGTCGTTACGCAAGAACAAAGAAAGATACAGTTCCAGCAAGAAACAATATTTATCTCGGTAAATGTATTCACAAACACTGGAGTACGTGTGCACAAACCTTAAGATTTAAAATCTCCGTCGACAATTCCTCTTGCTTCTTGTAAGAGTCATTAAGCTGTTGCTGTATCTTTCTTGTAGCAGCAATTATATCCTTTTCCTTATCTGCAGAATTAAGAAATTTATTGTCAGTTAAAAATATTTGTGGTAAACACTGATAAATCAATGCACTAATGTACTATATCTTACCTCGTTGAAATTGCTCCAATACGATTTGCAAATTGGTAAGAGAAGCTGTATGCGAGAGGACCTTATCCTCTGCAGCAGACAATTTATTTTGAATGTCGTCTCTCTGCTGTATAATGAGTGCCATTTGTTGCTGCAATGTTTCGACTTGCTGATTCGCTCTGATGCTCGCTGAGGTGTACACGGTCGAGCTATTCTTTGCTTTCTCTTCAGCCTGTACTAATTTCGCTTCCAGTTCCTTTCGATTTTCTTCAGCCAGGACAGCCTCTTCTGTGTAGCTAGCTTCCATTTCGACCAGGTGTGTCCTGAGCCTTTCCAATTCCTTAGCAGCATTTAATTCCTTACTTTGACTTTCGGTCAGTTGATTTTGCAACAATCGAGTGTTTGATTGTTCCTGAATTAAAGCAGCTTCCAGAGCATTACATTTTTCATTAAGAATTGCCGCCTGGGCTATTTGTGCAGAATGCTCCACGATTCCACAGGTCTCTCCATAATTATTTGACTCCTCATAATTCTTGAGCTTCTGTCGAACTACCTGTAGCTCATTCTGGGCCCACAAAATCTCTGCTGCCTTTTCCTTCACGATTTTCTCATTTTCTTCCTGATTGATCATCAATTTTTGTATGGTGGATATTTGCTCGTTTAGTAGCTGCGTCAATCGCTGAATCTCAGCATGATACTGAACACTTTCGTTGTGTTTTATTTGAACAAGTTTTACGAGTTCATCTCTTTCATGTCGTAGGGATGCCATTTCTTTTTCAGATTCAGCATTTGCTTGATTGGCTGTAACGATTGTGGTGGTTTTCAAGTTTTGAATTTCGTTATCCTTTTCTCTAATAAGCTGTGATAAACTCTCAATCGTTTCTCGAGCCATTCCTGCAGCTTCCTTGCTATTCTCACGGGACGCTACTACGATTTGATGTTCTTCTGCGAGTTTTGTTGCCAATTCATTTTTTTCAACATTTAATATGTCAATTTCACGTTGTTTCTCCTCTAATTCTTGTATTAAACGTTGCCTTTCCTCTTTCTCTTCGTCATTTGCTTTTCCTTGTTGAATTATACTCATTTCTTCATTTTGTTTTCGTAGGCATGCAAATTCAGCTTCCAATTCAGTGTATGCATGTTCGCTAGCTTGCTGTTTGCTATTTGCTAGCGACTCTTGTTCCTCCAGTTTCCACCAGGCACTTTTGAGCGACGATAGTTCTTGCTTTTTGCTACAAAGTTCGTCATATACATCAGATAGTTCAGATTCCAATTGGATACGTTTCTCTTCCGCAGAACGCCATTGCTCTTTGAAATTTTTCGCAATCTCCAATTCTCCGGCAAGTTTCGTGCTATTCTCTTCCACCGCACGAAGGGTTTCATTATCGGATGCCAATTTTTCTGCATGTGATTTCAGCGAAGATAATTCCTGTTCCAGAAGGGTGCGTTTGTCTGTAGCTTCCTGTAGTTCAGCCGATATCTTACACAATTCAGATTTAGTAGCCGCTGCCTCTTCCTTTAATGTCGCGTGTTCCTGTTGAAGAAGACTCATTTCAGTACTCAGCAGTTCAACCTTATCTAAGGATTCATCATGGGTTGCTGTCAGCTGATCCAATAACGAATTATTTTCCTTGATCAATCGTTCCTTGTCCTCTTGTAGTTTTAGGGTTTCGCTATGTCTTAATTCTATTTCCGCAAGAGCTTTATCCAATTCTTTTCTCATTTCGAGAATATCATACTCCAGATCATCCCTATCCTTAGTAACCCCTTCTAATTGTTTCCGGAGTTCTGTCAGTAACTCACTGTTTTCATTGCTGCTGCCTGATTGTCGTAGCATCGAGAGTTCAGCTTCCAATTGTTCCTTTTCATGTGACAAAACTTCAATATCTCTCTCGTCCTCGTGTTTTGTTTCTTGCAGAATAGCAATGTCGTGTTCCAGCTGTTTACGGTTTGCTATGGAAGATTTCAATTCTCTTCGAGCATTTTCAAGGTCTAGTTTCAATTCCTCAATTAATTCAATATTCTCATCCAAACCCTTGCATCTGTCCAAAGACATTCGTAACTGCTCTTGCGTCTGTTTCTCAGAGTCTTCGAGTCGATCGATCTTCTTACGCAATTCGTTGTTTTTCTCTAGACTCGCGTGCAATTTACGAGTTAAATCTTCCACCATACTTTCCGTGTTTTCGACGTTGGTTGAATAACTTTCTTGCGCGTTCTGCTTGGCAATGTCCAACTGCTGCCTAGCGTTTCTTACGTCCTCTTTCAGATTGTTCTGATTCTTAAGGGATGCTTCGACGTTTTGCATGGTTATCATTAGTTCGGAATTTTTTTCACGCATATTACTGTTTTCTGCCTGCAGACGTTTTATTTCTTCGTACAAAGATTCTGTCTCTGTTTCTAGCGTCGCCACGCGTTCTTCACTGGCTTCCGGTATCGAAGGTAAATTAGACTTCAAATGCTGAATTTCTAAAAGGAGCGATTCAATATTTGTCTGCATGTCGTCGCATTCCACTTGTAGAGAATCCTTCATTTCAGATGTTTGTTTCAATTCTCTAGTGAGTTCTGTGACTTTTCTCTCTAGGACGTCCTTCTTCCATTTTGCTTCCACGTAATGCTTAGCCACTGCCTCGAAAATGGATTCATCTTTGTTAGTGGTTATAGCAGTACTTTTTAGAATATCTTTTATTTTTTGACTCAATTCGTCAATTCTACTTATTTCCTCCTTTGGACTCTCACTTTCCTTGGGAAATTCAGTTTGAATCTCTCTGCTTTCAAATTCAATCATGTTTTTCTGTTCCGATCGATTACTTTCAGCTTGCTCCTCTACTATTTTATTATTGTTAGATTCTGCTGAAGCCAGTTTAGCTTCCAATGCTTCCACCTTATACTGGGACTCGTTAAAATCGACATAGAGTTGCTCATAAGCCTTCTGTAGGGCTTGATGCTTTTTCTGAATTTCTTCTTTTATAAGGAGAACTTGTTCTGCAACAATCGATTCCTGGTTAGTAATACCGATACATAGTGATAACGGCAATACGAAAACAAGACTTGTATGAAGTGACAACCGAGAATGGATGAAGTAACGCAAAAGAATAATATATTGTTATCCGATGCTGTACAATAGCTTGGGAGAAAAATGCCGATTGTTATACCTTCCTCTGTAGAGTCTAGAAGCTAGAAGAATTTAAATGTATGGACATAAGTACTAAGTGGCACTTTAAGTATGTTTTTCTTTTTCGTCAGGAAGTCATTACACCCGCAATGACAAATATTTCATTTATAACTTGAAACACTAAAATGCAGTTACGTGGTATAAAATGATAAATGATTCTCTGATAATTTATAGATATATTAATGAAACCACTTGCAGTAGAAATAATCGAATAAAACGATTTTGGAATTTATAATTCAATAACTAACATCCACATGAATTTATGGATATAATTTACATAAACCTGCCTATAGATTCCGTGTGCTGCTGGTCCAATTCTTCTAGGCTGATTGTTAAATTTTTATTCTCCTCTTGAAGTTCAGCGATTTTCTTTCTTAATTCGATTTCATTATCATATGCATCCTCTCTTTGTTTGTCGCCACGTTCTTTCGAGTTTTCATGAAGGTTCGCCTTTAAAGATGAAACATCAGAACCAGGATCGTTAATCTTTTCAATCTTTTCATCGCTATCAGACTTCTCCCACTTCTGAGGCGTTCTCAATTTTTCATTCTCACTTTCCAAGGCCTTGAGTGCGCTGTGAATTAGATCCAACTGTTCGGTAGATCCCAGCTGAGCGATAATGGTACGAAAATCATTAACCAGTACAGCTTCGTCCGAATGAAGACGCTTCATGTTTCTTTCAGCTTCGCGACTCTGACAGAGTAAAGACACTTATTACACACAAGTGACACAACCTTTGTATAAATAACAGTATGCTAAACGTATCTCCCGTCTCTCATGCCAAAGCTACTTTCCATTTCAAAGTGAGCTCTTCGCTAAGCCTGTGTAATTTCCAATTAGAAAAACTCATTAGACAATTTATTGGCAAACTTACTTTTTCTCCCATCTGTATGATACGATTGACCATGTCCTGTTTAGCACGTAATAACTCCGCCTTCTGATGACCATCGGTAATTTCATCTTTGAGCCCGGTTGTCGCGCTCACCTGAAAATGCAATATTTGCACGTGCAAGGATACGCGCGACTTTCACGAGTCTCTGCAGCAATTGGCAATTGTGAGCATTGCAAATAAAAAGCACAGTCGTCCGCTGCAAATGTACGACCAGTCCCCATTAATTGACCCACCTTCTGCACCTTCTTCAGTTCCGCCTCCAATTCGCGAATTCTCAGGGTGGCCTGAGTGAGCTGTTCCTGGAGAAGTTTCGATTGATTCTGACTCCTGGCATCACGTGCCCTGATTGACGGAGGATCCCAGAAGTATCCTCCACCGTCGTCATCCTGGTCCACGTCATTCTGAAAACGACAGACGTGAGTAGTCGCTGACGCGAAACTGAACAGGATGGGAAGACAAATGAATGTAAAATGATTGGTCGAGCATATCGATCGACGACGGGAACCAAAAGATCGACACTTCGGTACGATCTCGAAGTATACTCCACGCGTGGGATCTTTTCGATCGCGTGTACGAGGACTCTAGGATCTCACCGATCCGTACGACGCACTAAAATAGGATGTATTTACGAACACAGTCTATGATTAGTAGCTTAGCATTGTTGTACGCGTTTACATAAGAATCTCGTGCCGTGAACAATGCACCTACCAAGGCGCTGTCCAGCCGTGCGCTCGGGCAGAAGAGAAAAAAAAACACTTATGCAATTCAAATTACAGCTCTTCGACGTCTTCGAGGAAGAGAAAATGTACAAAGTGGTCGGCGGTTCCACAATTTCATAGGGATGGTCGCTCGGTTCTTTCGATTTGCTTTAATTAAATATTGACAATTTTCTAGCGCTTCACCCTCGGCCAGTCTCATTTATTACGTAACAAGACTTTGCCCATCCAACCTTAGTCTCGTTTTCTTCGATTCTCGTAAGACTGTCGCAATCAACAATGGACCCTCCACAGCTTCCGAAACTCCTTATCGTCCGGTTAGTATCTATTCAAATTTTCAACGTTTCGATCGAGTGATATTCATAAATCGGCATTCAACGCTCGAGGAAGACGCGGTCATGGCGGGTCCTACTTTCGAAAATGCTGATGCATACTGCATATTTTTTTTCGAGTCTCGAGGAATTTTGGGTCACACGCATACGCGCGCACGCCAAATCACCGAACCTTTCACACCGACGGGAAGTCGGGCTTCGAGCGATATCGTCGCCTGTGGTTGCTCCGGCGATCCTGGACGATAAACAAATCATGGCTACCGATCGAAATCGGGACCAGGAATAGTTTAAGAGGGCATTGTAATATCACCGTGCGTTATGCAAAGCCCTCGCGACTAAGTGACTGACTGAACGGACGAACGAGAATAAACGCATACGTACAGCCGTACATACGTGGAGGATCCATAGTCCGCCGTGTGACTCTCCGTGCACGAGTGTATTGGTCTAAAGCGGCAATGCTAATGAATATGAAAGGGGGTTTCGTTGGGTCAGGTCAAGGAATAATGCATCGTTTGACTTGCATGCAGACGTGTGACAAAAGAGCCTCGGCGCTGTCCATTTACCTTAGCTCGTAGACCCGAAGACTTCTGGCTCCCTCGAGAAGGAAGACGCACGAGGAAAAAGTTTATCTCGCCCGGAAATGCCAGGACATAACTTAACGTTTGACCATGAATATCGTAAGGAGCTAACGAAATTTAATTACAACCCGAGACATACTTATGTTACATGCAAATGCACCTTAAAGGTTCGTGATCCACGTACCTACAAAGGATTGGCTCTTTGTTCTCGTTAATAACATACGTCAATCGTATAGGCTACCCTAGTCTGCTGCTGCTGCTGCTGCTGCTGCTGCTGCTCAAGTACCGCGGTTGAGTTACGAGAGAGAAACGTGCCCAGACACCCGTTCGTATACCCGTGACACGTATAGGCACCTTGGTCAGCTTGTTTTGTAAGTTACGGTAATTTGTAGTTTGCCCACTGTATGCTGACTTTTTATCCGAGTTCCAGCTACTCTATCAGACTCACGTGCTGCCTGCGAAGCGCTCGGCGCTACAGGTAATGTCCGACTCTAGTGATAGCGAACGTGGGAAAGGAAGTTCCTATCACTTCTGAGCTACAAAGGACAGGCCTGACGACGCGCCTAGAACTCATCGCTGGACAATTCGAAGTCACATTTTTCAATGTGGGCAATCACGTTTTGTTCGAGTCCCACGAGTATCCTGGTAAGGAATAG